AGGCACCAGATCCTCTGGAGCTGGAGTTACAGACAGTTGTGAGCTGCCATGTGGATGCTGGGATTGCACCAGGGTCCTCTGGAAGAACAGCCTGTAATCTTAACCACTGAGCCATTTCTCCAGTCCCCAGAACAGATATTTTTATTTTTAATTAGTTAATTAATCAATTACTTGTGGGTACTTGAGGACTGAATCTAGGGCCTCTCACACATGCTAGGTCAATGTTCTACCATCGAGATATGTCTCTAAGACCTTTATTTTGTTATTTTTATTTTATTTTATTCTCAAGACAGGATTTCTCTGTAGCTTTGGAGTCTTTCCTGGAACTAGCTCTGTAGACCAGGTTGGCCTCTAACTCATAGAATACTGCCTGCCTCTGCCTCCCAAATGTTGGGATTAAAGTCATGTACCACCAACGCCCAGCTAGGTTTTTAATTAATTTATTTATTGTTTTCAAATGAGATTGAATTCTGTAACCCAACCTGGCTTAAGATGCACTAAGTAGCTTGTACTGGCCTTGAACTTATGATCCTCCTGATCTGCCTACTGAGTAGCTGCAATTACAGGTCGGGCTGACCCTTCCATTCCTTCTGTCTGTTTTCCAAGTTTGCTACAGTACACGCACAGATAACCGTGACATGAAGCTTGCAGCCTGGCTGCCCTGGTTCCAGAGATGAGAGTGCCAGGTTATCTGGGATTTGACCTCTACCAGCCCAGAAACCACTGCTTTAAGGAGTCAGTTAAAGCACTTCAGAGAGCGGTCAGGGTCCAGAGTGAAGAGAACTCACTGCATGTCCACTGCAGAGGCTCTTGGCTGGCCAGGGGCAGGTAAGGAGAACTGGGCAACAGATGGTGGCTTCAGGCAGCAGAAGCTGGACTCTGATCAGCCTTCATGGCTCCTGACAAGGAAATCCCTGTGTGCTCCAAGAGGCTCCAGATGGTACGGTGTAGGCCACTGATGGCAGGAAGGGCACTCTGCTCTTTTTGAGTCTAGCTCAGGGGCACATTCTAGGTCATTCAGGCGAGACCTGGGGCTGCAACAGCCAACGAGTCTGACCTCTTGGACATTCAAAACATCAGGTTGAGATGAGCTCTCTGCTGCAGGGTAAGGAAAGTACAGGGGCAGCAGCCACACATTCTGGCCCAACAGAAAGTTGGGAGCCCTTAGGAAACCAGGGTACTCTGGAACCTGGTGGCTGACGGAGGATCTTGGGCTCACATTGTGGTTGGGGTGGGGAGGAGAGCATAAAACCCTGGCTTATCACAGAGGTCACCCAGGTGGGCACGTCTGAGGTGAGAGAGGCGGGGGATTGGGAGGCTGGGGCAGGGTAGCATTGTTCAAGGCCAGACTGGACCACGTAGTGAACTCCTGTCTCAAAAAACAAAAACAGGTCTGGTGAGATGACCCAGCCACTAAAGGCAATGCCACCAAGTCTGAAAATCTAAGCAGAACCAACTCTTGCAAGTTGTCCTTCCACTTGTGTCCTGTGACACGTTCATGGCCACCCACACAAACAAAACAAAGTAATAATGTAAAAAATTATATATACAAAATAAAATTTTCACAGGTAACCTGAGACTCAGAGAGGTCACAGAGTTTGTTCAAAAGCATACAGTATGGAAAAAGCATACCTTGCTAGAATCCTCCAACAATTCTAATTCATCATAATGGCAGGGAGGAAACCAGGGTGCTTTTCTGTTGTTGTTTTTTTTTGTTTGTTTTTTTGAGGCAGAGTTTCACTAAGTTGCCCAGGCTAGCTCCTGTGGCACGAATAATAAAAACCCAGAGACAGATATTGGGGTTCAACCTGAAGGTCAGAATAGCAAAACAGCCAGCCACTGACTTTTACCACCACGACCTCAGTCCGTAATGGAGATCCTGCCTCCAGGAATCCTACCCACGTGCTCAGAGTTCAGAACATAAGCACAGGCCTCTCTATCGGGCCGGGTTTTGTATTTTTTTTTCTTTTACCCCTTATAGACATATACAATTAAATGTAAATATTGTATTATTTATTTTAGTCCAGGTTTTACTGTCCAGTCCTGACTGGCCTGGAACGCTCTATGTAGAGCAGAGTGGCTATAAACTCACTCTGCCTCCAGAGTGTGGGAATTCAAAAGTGTGCATCACCACCAGTTCTAGTTTCTTTGGCTTTGGGGACAAAGTCTAACTATATAACCCTGTCTGGCCTGGACCAGCTTGGCCTGTGCGCCTGTCTCCGGAATTAGAGAGACGCGCTGTTACGCATGACTCTATGTCGATTTCAGAGGAGAAATGGGATTGGCACAGAAATAGCTGAGGACTAGAGGATCAGAGGTGAGAAGAACCTCCGGTGAACCCTCGACAACAGAGGGATCCAGCCTCTCACGGCTGCCAGTAAAGCCCATTTCCCAAACCCAGCAGAAAGTGGGCGACAGTTCTATCCCAGGGACCCTCGCCGGGCTGGAGGAACGGTGTGTGCAAGCGTCCCCAGTACAGCACGGGGCACAAGGCCAGCACTTAATCATTAGACTTGACTGTCCAGAAAGAAACCTGGTTCCCTTCAGAAGGGCCCTACAGTGGGATGCAGCTGTCTGCATTCTGGCCACCCTCCTGCTTCTGTTTTTACCTTTTGGTGATTTCTCTCTTTGGTTTTTCTGTGTAGCCCTAGCTGTCCTGGAACATGCCCTTAGATCAGAATGGCTCACACGAGTTCCTGACACCTGTTTGCATTTCCCTTTCCTCAATAACTAAGCCGTCCAATTCTCGATTCTCGGTACAACTGACGTCATTTACAATGTGCACATTTGCCAAGGCCCTCCTGCGCTCTCAAGCTGGCCCCCAAGCTTCTCCTCACCATAATCATCTAGAAATGTGTAGCCTCAGACTCCTTCCTCTTCCTCCCCACCCCCCATTGCCAGTGTGATTTGGGGATGGAACTCGAGACCATGTACATGCTAGGCTCCACCTGTTATCCACGCTATGGTGCAGAGAGAAAGGGAGACACTGACATGACGGCACTTCAGTGAGTCCCTGTGACTTTGTGTGCGCTCAGTGCAGCGGAGCACGTGCGTAGAGGCCAGAGAAGAACTTGTGGGAGGTCAGCTTTCTCCTTCCACCGTGTCAGGCCTCTTGCCAGCTCCGAAGAGCAGTGCTTCTGTAGCCTGAGTGGTGGTATTTCCTCTCAGCGTTTGTGGAGGGCTTGGGTCATCTCGCACTCTGAAGTGAGGAACATGTCCAAAGTTACCAGTGCTCAGTATTTGCTCTCTGACATTTCAAAGTTTACTGTAATTCACACACTCTATGCACAGGTGGTTTAAGATGAAAGAAGTGCTTGCTAAGTATTTTTATTACTTACTGGGTGGACATTAGCATCCATGGAACTGAAAAGAAATCCACTTGTACGGTTGCCTCTAAGAGACTAAAACATTTTCACCCTCCCTCATTTTCTTCCATCTTTAGCTCAAACCATAAACTCACGGACAAGATAGTAACTGCAGGTTAAGCTGTGACCGCACACCGTCCCTCTTCCTCACACAGACCCATTAGCACTGACGCTAAGCACAGCAATATTTAACACCAGGCCCTGTGACAGCAGCCCCTTCAGGCCCTTGGACTGACAGTCCTGTAGACGTTGGCAGGGCAATGGGACACACCCTGTGCTGCCTGTGTTATTTATGCCTCTGGCAGTGAAGCCCCTGACAAAGAAGCATGTCACTGGAACACATGCTCTTTGTTCACAGAGGTGCATGCCAGCACCGGCTGTGCAAGAAGGCACAGTGCCCTGTCTGTAGTCTCTCCTCCTGAACTTGCCCGCTTTCTTTTTATTTGTTGCACGCTGTGGCTGTGTTTATTAATTACTTTGTAGCTTAATCTTATAAACTACACATTTCTCCTGCGGACCATTCACCACTGCAAAGAGTTTGCCTTTAGGAGATAAGAGTCTCAGTGTACGAGCTAGGATTAATCCCACCCTCCTCGGGAGGCACCAGGTTACACCTCTCTTGTAGAGACTATCCCTACCAACAGCAGCACGAGATGACACCTGTGGGCCACCTGGTCCCATAGGCTCCCTCAACTGTTTCCCATCTGCTGTACCAAAGTAAGAGTCCCCCGAGATGACTCACTTTAGGGGTGCAGCAAAAAAATATGGCAGATTTGGAGCCAGACCTATAAAAACTTAACCTTGTTGAGGGTACCGACAGTGACTAAGCTTCAACTCCACTGGAGATTAAATGGGAAATAACACAGCAAACCCTTAAAAGTCAGAGCTCTGTGACTGTTAGTTTATGGAAGTGTCTTGGTAAGTTTTTTTTTTTTTTTTTCAAAAGCTTCTTTGCATAGCTAGTGAAGCTGGTCCACCACCTTACAGTTAGAGATCTTGGTGACAAGGAGCACACCACACCCTTCCTTTCCTTTCCCCACATTCTCTTGTCTTAGGTCTTCCAGACTCCAACTAGAGGCATGGATGAGTCTACACTTAGAAAGCATTCCCCATAACCTTCCAACTTTTTCTCTTGAGTTGCTATTTCTGAAACTGACATATAATCCATATAAAAGTTTGAGCCCCTAAGGCAAAATGGAATGGAGAAAGGCTTTTTCAACAAAAATCTTAGGGTAAAGTATAGAATTTTGTTTTTCTCTAATAAACTGTGTTTAATCTTTGGTGCCTTTAGTTAATATCAGAAGCAAGCAGGCACCTGAATTAACACACTGAATTCCCGCACCCCAATGTTGTGCTTTAAATTCAAGAACCCTCGAGATTAGGCCTGCCCAGGATTCACCTTAATGGAGATCAAGAATGTATGTACCTTCCATGAGTGCCTCAGATGGTGGAAACTGAGGCTTCTTCAAAATTGCTAATGGTTTTCTTTGCTAGTAGCTCCTGTTAAAATGCTTTGTTTCTTCTTGGGTAGTTTGTAGTTTATGCATTGATGAAGCAATAAAGTTTTAAGGTATATATTTAAAAATATTTAAAAACAAGCGCCAAGGGTTAAGTCTCCTGAACTGGGATGCCCCGATGCATCCATGCCGTAGTGCAACCGCCTCGCTGGAGCCACGCGGCACAACCCGACCAGGCAGTGATCACACCCTCATGAGGGTCCTCGAAGGCACTTCCAACATCTCTGGACCTAAAGGCTGTGGGGGTCAGGCTGTTGGCCCAAGCCAAGCCTGGGGGGATGGGGTGAACCCCAAAGCCACAGCCTCTGAGGGCGGCATCAGAAGGCTAGGGAGAGCGGGTCGGCGGGCGGAACTGGGTCCGAGACACCCCCGAAGGCGCGAGGCAAAGGCTGTCGCACGGACGTGCAGGCGAGAGTGGGAGCAGGCGACAGTGGGAGGGGGTCCCCGGCCCCGGAAGGTCTTACATCAGCCAGCCCACGTGCGACCCGAGGGCCAGGAGGCGCGCGCGGCCCGGGAGGCGGTGCCGCAGTCCGGGCTGAGCTTAGGGCGGCCCCGCCCCGCCCTCCGTGCGCCTCCCTAGTCCGTGCTGCAGCCCGGGATCCTG